GATTTTCTACGATGTGTCGATTATGAATAAAAATAGTTTTTAAAAAATTGTTTAAAAAAGTCCCCTCCGATGACAAAACAGATTAAGCTTAAAAAATCTTTTCAACGGAATCGTAAAATTGAGATTTTTGATATTCTTTTTTTTTACTTTTTTCAAGGATTGATTTACGCGAAACTTGAATAACTGGGCGAAAACTATTCTGATTTAGACTTGTGGGATCTCAGTAGAAAGGTATTTTTACACTGAAATAAAAAGGGTGAGAAAATACCTTTACAATGACACCTCTTGAGTCTAAATCGGAAGAATCTTTGAAAAAAATTAAAAAACAGCATCAAAAATCTCATCATTACGATTCCGTTAAAATTTTTTTTTTAATTTTTTTTAAATATTTTTTATGCAAATTTTCTAACCGTTTTGTCATTAAGGGGGCTTTTTCAAAAAAAAACCATTAAGAAACAATTTTTATTTTTAAAAGACTACATTTTTGGAAGTATTTTCAAATCGGTCCAGCTCACGCAAATCTTAATATTTTTCCGAAATATTTTGGTGGACGCCTTAAAATATAATAGATTTTATAATTCCAATGGAAAAACAGTACCGATTTTTTTTTTGTATGGGGAGTGATGCAGTCTATTAGATATCGATTTCTAATGAAAAATTTTGCATTCTTTGGGACTTATCACATTTTCTATTTCACTATTTTGGACTTTGCAAATTTCCGTGTCACTGCTTCTTGCATGAAAACACATAATTTTTTAGAAAAACTTTTCATTCTTAAAGTACGTTTCCACGGGCTTCAAATTGGGCAATTCCGACTCGCAATTTCAATTTGAAATTGTAAATATTCACATGACAAATTTAAATTTCAAAAGAAATTTCGATCAAAGTTGTTTACCGAAAAAAATAATTTTTTAGACGTATAAATCATTCAAAGGTGTAAAACTTCCAACTTGCTACGAAAAAAATTTAATTTTTTTTTTCAATTTCCCCAAATTGAGACTCGAACACAATTTCTGCTGATATTTTTTTCTATGGCCAAATTGAGAAACATATCACAATTTCAAGTTGAAATTGAGAATGCTGCCCAAATTGCGAAATGTTAGTGTAGTTAAAAAAATAAATAGTTCCTAAAATGTAGTAAAGTAGTTACTATCGGACTGCTTCGTTTTTGGTTCACTAGTTCGGGGTTTCCCTGTGAACTACATACATACCCTCTTAATTACGTACATATATGTACATATGTCTGCAGAAATGGCAATTTGTCCATTTTCGAGTCGAGTTTAGTCTAATAAATATTCAAAATTCTTGAATTGCAAAATTCTTGAATTTTCAAGCGCTGAAGGGACTTTGTAATCTCCATTACAGAAATATGCGATCGGCGTGCGTACATCAAGAGTTCGTCCGTTGAGACACCCTGTACATTATCGTGAATTCGATAGTTGATAAATCCTTCATATATAAATAAAGAGCCTTTCTCGACAATATCCTTCCGGAGACAATCGTCACATCTCTGGTTGAGCTTGCTGTCGAAACCGACTTGGCTAAGCTTCTATGCGGCAGAAGTGTTGTGGCGAAGTTCGACAGTGTCATCATTCGTTTTTCAAAAATCTGCAGTGGCTACAACGGGTCGCCCTAATTGAAATCATTGCGAAGTTTAGGATCAGTAATGCACTAGCACTTTACGTCAACGTTGAGGCTAGCGGATTTGA